GGCGGCGCGGGCGAGCCGCGAGGTGCGGGGATGGCCTGGCAAGCGAGCCACTCAGAACGGCGCGCATGGGGAGGAGAAGGATAGCGCTTGAGCAGTAGGCTGGTCGGACGCTTGTATTCGCCTATCTTTAAACGTTAATATCTCGTTAAATATTGCGTCAACTGCAAAATGGTACAAAACTGTTTTGTTCCCCTTGATCCAATCTACGTCCCCATTGTGTTTCGATCCGTTTTTTTGAGACACCCTGTATATACTTCTGATATAGTTGCAACAAAGATATAAATCATGTGTTTGTGACATTTTTCTACATTTTTCCCAATGCGGTATTATTAAACAATAAAATATTTATAGTTTACATTATGTAACTTATTAAAAGTGGCAGTCTTAATTAAATTCGCAGTTTTCATTATCATAACTTTTCTTAGAATAAACAGAAAATAAGGAATTACTTCCATTCATCTCTGATGAAGTATATAATGTCTAGTGAATTTATTTCTATCAATTACTATATCTACAATACTATGTCTACAACATTCGAGTTTACGATATCGTCAAAAGATTGTGTCACGTGTTCAGAAATTAATAAGAACCTTGAAGAATTATAAATCTAGGCCAAAGTCCAACAAATTTATAATAGACAAATAAAGAAAGAAACTTTGTAAATAAAAAATAAATTTAATAAAATCTTGATTTAATAAAATATATATAATGAATAAAAGTCATGAATAAAATTATATATATGCTAGAATATATTGTTATATTTAAATATTGGATATTGTATCCCAAGTAGTAAAGTGATGTCAAATGATGTTTTAATAACGTTTTAATGACGTCTTTAACGTCAATAAGATGTCATTAAAACGTTTTAACCCATTAAAGACCGCTGGTTGATTTGTCGACCAAAAAGATAGATCAACTTTGGGATGTGAAATTTTTGAAAAATAAGCTCCTTAAAGGCATAGTAGTGTTACGTCCAAACTCCGGTCATGTGCGTAGATAGGTTTAGAGAAAGAAGGAGTAAAGGACGTTAGAGCAGACGCTTTGTCTCGCATGCATCCGCGGGAAGGGGATAGAGCGAGTCGAACGCACCTTTTATAGCTCTGGAATATGGGTCAACGTCCTAAAGGGACGCTATAACACCTGTTTCCAACAGGCAGTGCGAACGTCGGTTCGAATTTTGAGTCAAGAAACTTAATCCTTGTAACTCGGGACCGGACCACATGCGAACAGCGGGAGTTGGTACGAGGTCTTACGATTCTAAAATAAATGGAGATTGAGGTTCGTCATTTTACAAGTACTCTATTTTATTGTTAACACTAAATCTTACAGTTGAAGTATAGCCAAACATTATTATTATTTGAATTTATGATTAAAATTTAAGTCTATCTTTATAAAATTGAAGGGAAAATAATGCTAAACAGAATCTCATTACAATTTAACATTCATATCGCGAAGGATATTAATAGAACACGATCGACTTATCTTACAAACTATTCATAGCTTTACTAATGACACTTTATTAATAACTATTATACTTATTAATAAGTATATATATATGTATATATGTGTACATGTATATTCTCGGAAATTTGAGAGATCATGATGGTCATGACTAGGTCTATGAGTTTGTTGTGTGAGTGTGTATAAACGGAGAGGCGATACAGGAATTAACGTATTTCACGAAGTACAACGGAGGAAGGGGGGAAAATATTGTGAAAGAACCTCACAGGGACGAGATAAGGAACGGGTGATCGGGGAAGGATTACAGGGATTGCTGCACGGGGTGGCTGTCCAGCTATGGCATTTCTTATCTCGTTAGGATCAAAATAATCAGGACCGATTATATAGACATCGAGTGGGAGAGGTTGTGTTGTACGCGGGAATTTGGCGATTAAGGATTTGAATGAATCCTCGGGATGGATGAAGAAATGGTAACGCGGAGGTGGAGGTGGGAACTCTTCTACGAATTCCACACTCGAGGTCGAAAGGGATGGTGATGGCGGTCGTGGTGAAGGAAGGATGGATTGGATAGAGGAATCAGAAGTTGGGGGTGGGGTGTCAGGGAAGATTCGCTCGGTTAGGGCGTCCGAAAATGCAGGTGACGGAGATCGAGGAGGAGGTGAAGGAGAAAGAGGAGGTATTGCCTCTAACCCTTGTTGACTGGGTTGAGCCGGCGAAGCCGGTGGTGGTAGGGGAGCTAACGCGTCCTTGGCAGGATTACTTTGATCCCGAAGGTTTTCGCGATATTCCTAGTACGCCTGGTCCAGGAGTTTCCGCGCTTCAAGATAGGCCCGGCTTTTACGCCAACCCTTGTATGGGCGATTGGTTAAGCGTGGCACTATGGTTATAGCTCGAGTTAGATTTCGCGGTGAATATATATAT